ACTGTGTCCCGAGGAGGAGAGCCCAGCCTCCCTGCCCCGCTCTTGCAGTGTCTGGAGAAGAAGCCAAGGTGTGATGTGCTCGTCTCCAGCAGCAGGGCTGCAGGGATGAGTTCATTCCTGGGTGCAGAGTTGGGAAGGAGCTCTCAGCAAGGGGAGAGGAGCTGTGATGGAGGTGCAGCGTTTTCCCCTCCACGCCTGGCCCCAGTCCCTGCCCATCCTGTGCCAGTCACTGGTAATAAAGGGGACTGGGAGCTCCAGAACTCTGGATCAGAGGCTTCCCAAGTGTGGGAATGTGGGGATTCCCACACTTGGGGAACATGGAATGTGGCTCCTGCCTGATGGCACCGTCCTCCTGCCTGGTGCCATCAGAGGCTCCTCCAGAAAAGTTCTGCTGGTGCTTTTTGGGTTTAACCAGCTCAGAGCTGGGCACTGCCAGCACAGACCTCCTTGGTCAAGCACAGATGCAGTCTGGGCAGGGGGATGAGCTGGCTCTGTCCTCCTTGTGTGCAGGAGGCACCTGCTGTGGGAGCAGGGTGTGGATGAGCTGTGTGGGATCTGTCACCTCCAGCGTGGTCACTGGAGCACAGAGGATGGAGAGGCTCTTCCCAGCCCTCTCTCCCAGTTTTCATGGGCTCTTGCAGTGGTCTCAGCCCTGATCTGTCTGAGGCTTCTCAGAGAGAGACAAGTTTTCTTTGGTGATGTCATGTGAGGATGTCCAGGGAGAGCAGCCACCTTTCCTGGGGTGCTGCCCCCATCACCACATTATCCTGGGAAAAATTCCCTGGGATTCTGTTTCTTGTCAGAAATTACCAGTGTCCCATCCCAAGAGCAGGTGGTATGGGTTCAGCCAGGACAGTTTTACAAAGTGGAGTGTAATGGGAGCAGTGTGGGATGGGGAAAGGGGATGGAGTTGAGACAGGTTTAGGAGGAGGGGGCTGCTCACCCCCCATCGGGGCTGTCCCTGCAGGCAGAGCTGGCTGTGGTGGCACAGGGGCTGTGACTTGGGGTTGGGGTGAGACCTCTGCAGTGCTGGGGTTTGCTGGCAGCCATGGGGTGTCAGGATGAGTTTGTGCCCACAGGGACTCAGAGCTCCACCAAAGAAATGTAACACAGCAGCTGAGCCGCTCTCGGGCTCTGGAGAGACCCAGGCTCTGCTCACAAAGGGCTCTTGGGGCTGAAGCATCCCTGGGTCTGTCTCTTCCACCTGCCCCTGGTTTTGGGCTGTTTTTATTTGGATCTTTAAAGCTGCTTCAGTGGAGACTTGCAGCAGAGTCTGGCACTCTGTTGCCATTGGTGCTGCACAGCAGCCCAGGGCCGGGGGAATGTGTGGATGCCTCCTGCTGCTGCTGGGCTGAGGTGTGGCACTGCCTGGGCTGGGAGCTCACCAGCACTTCCAGGCAGCTCCAGGTCCTTTCCACAGCCCCCTTTGGCATGTCCCTGACCCTGCAGCAGCTTCACAGGGATGTGGCCATCTCTGGAGATGGTTTGCAGGGGCTCATCTGAAAGGTTTCCTACTGGTCTGAATCACTCCAAGTACAAGAAAGACGTGGAGCTGCAGGAGCCCCTCTGCTCTGGAGCCAGGCTGGGACAGCTGGGGGTGCTCACCTGGAGAAGAGAAGGCTCCAGGGAGAGCTCAGAGCCCCTTGCAGGGCCTAAAGGGGCTCCAGGAGAGCTGGAGAGGGACTGGGGACAAGGCCTGCAGGGACAGGACACAGGGAATGGCTCCCAGTGCCAGAGGGCAGGGCTGGATGGGATATTGGGAAGGAATTGTTGGCTGGGAGGGTGGGCAGGCCCTGGCACAGGGTGCCCAGAGCAGCTGGGGCTGCCCCTGGATCCCTGGCAGTGCCCAAGGCCAGGTTGGATGTGTTTTGGAGCAACCTGGGATAGTGGAAGGTGTCCCTGCCATGGCAGGGGGTGAAACAAGATCAACCCTAAGGTCTTTTCCAACTCAAACCATTCCATGGTTCCCCCAGCTGCAGTTGCTGGTTAAACCCCCAGTTTGCAGTTTGAGTCCATCTGGCTCTGGGGGGCTCAGCCAGGAGGTGCCATCCCCCCCTCCTGAGCAGGGGCAGCCTGGCTCAGCTGCCTCAGGGGGTGCAGGGCTGTGCCCCCGGTGTCCCAGAGCCTCCATCACTGTGCCAGGTGGGGTTAAACACTTCCCTGAATGCCAGCCTGGGGAGGCTGCTCATCCTGCCCATCCTGCCCCAGCCTTTGGGACCTTTGCCTGGGAGTCCCTGCAGCCAAGGGGTGTCTCAGGAGGAGTTTGGGCCTGGGGACAGGGCAGGACAGATTGGTCCCCTGGTGTGTCCCGATGCTGGAGACTCCTCACAGGCACAGTTCCTGGTGCTGGTGCCAGCACATGGCCTCAGGCTGTGGCTTCCCTGGCCGCTGCCTCCCTTCCCAGTGTTTCCTGGTGTGGCTCTGGGACAGCCGGGGGGTGACTCCACACCCCCACCCTCCCAGATCTGCCATCCTCCTCTCCTAGCCCTCCCCTGGGAAACCCAGCTCCCACCCCAGCTGTGTTTGGTGCCATTCATGACCCTGGCAGCATCCAGCAGCCACGGGCTGGGGGCATTTTTCCTGTGCTGCTGGTTTGAGGAGGGTGGAACTGGCCAAGCCAGGCACCCCTTTGATTTTTATCCAAGGTTTTTGGCTTTGTCCCTGTGAAGAGCTCACGGAAGCAGCCAGACAAACTCTTCCTCTCTTTGGTGCTGCCATGGCATCATTTGGGTCCCACTGGTGCTGCTGGTGTGATGGAGTGGGGAGGGGAAGAGCCATGTCCCACATGGGATGTGGCTCCTGAGTGACTCCTGTGTGCAGCTCCTGGAGCTGCCAGTGGCTTTGCATCCTGAAACTGCCACATGCTGAGGCTTGGGATGGATCTCAGGGCAAGGTTCTTCCCCCCGAGGCTGCTGGCACTGCCCAGGCTCCCCAGGGAATGGGCCCGGCCCCAAGGCTGCCAGAGCTCCAGGAGCGTTTGGACAGCGCTCTTGGACAGCGCTCTCAGGGATGCTCAGGGTGGGGCTGTGGGGGGGTCTGGGCAGGGCCAGGAGTGGGGCTCTATCCCTGTGGGTCTTTTCCAAGTTGGGATATTCCATGATTCTGTGATGCTGCAAAGGATGAATTTGGGACCTTGGGCATGAGGCTGGTGCCCATGGGAGGCAGCAGCAGAGCCTCTTCCCACTGCCTTGGGCTTGTCCTGCTTTGCCCAGCAGTGGAGCAGGAGCAGATCTTACAGCAGGCACCAGGATAAATCTGGGAGGGGAACGTGGGAGTTGCAGGTGCCTCTCCCAGGACAGCCCTGTAGGAGCTGGCACGGGATAATGGCTTCAGTAAATGTCGCCTTCGATGGTTCTGCCCTGCCCCAGTCCCTGGCCATCGCTTCACTGTGCCATAATCCACGTGCCAGGGGTTGGTGGTGCCGAAGGGCCTGGCTGTGGCACCCAGGGCAGCTCCTGCTGCTCCCTCACTCTGACAGTTTCTCACTTCTTGTCATCCACGAGGCTCAATGCCGTGGGAAGTGCAGCACACCTGGGCTGATCCAGGCTGTTCTCTCTCTGCTCTCCAGGTGCTCCTGCAGTGATTTACCTGGTTGGGACAGACCTGATTCAACTTCTTGTGCCATTCCAGCCCTGGCTGAGTCACAGAACCCCAGAATGGTTTGAGGTGGAGGGGACATTAAATCCCACCCAGTCCCAACCCCTGCCATGGTATTCCACTATCCCAGGCTGCTCCAAGCCCCGTCCAGCCTGACCTTGGACACTTCCAGGGCTGGAGCAGGCACAGCTGCCTTGGGCAGCCTGTTTCACTGTGGTGGGTTGACTCTGGCTGGTTCCAGACATTCACCAAAGCTGTGCCATCACTGCTCTCCACAAGTGGGCAGGGGAGAGAAAATACAGCAAAGGTTTCATGGGTTGAGATAAGGGCAGGGAAAGATCCCTCACCCAGTATTGTCAAGGGCAAAACAGACTCAACTTGGGGATACTAATTGAATTTATTACTAACAAAATCAGAGCAGGACTATGAGAAGTAAAATCTTAAAATCACCTTCCCCTTCTCTCATTCCTGGGCTCTCCCTCTGCCCCCCAGCAGCGCAGGGAGGTGGGAATGGGGGTCACAGTCAGCTCATCCCACGTTGTTCCTGCTGCTGCTCAGGGAGAGGAGTTGGAGCTCTTTTCCTGCCCCAGTGTGGGGTCCCTCCCACAGGACACAGGTCTCCACACCCTGTCCCAGCCTTTGTCCCCCTCAGGATCACCAAGTGTGTCCAGCAAACCTGCTCCAGCATGGGCTTCTCTCTTCACAGATCTGCAGGTCCCTGCCAGGACCCTGCTCCAGCTCAGGCTTCCCCCAGGGTCACAACCTTCTTTGGGCATGTCCCTGCTCCAGCGTGGGCTCCTCCTGGGGCTGCAGGGGGGTCTCAGCTCCGGTGCCTGGAGCAGCTCCTGCCGCTCCTTCTGCCCTGCCCTGGGTGTCTGCAGAGCTGCTCCTCTCACACCTTCTAACCCTGCTCTTCTCTAGACCAAACTGCAGCTGCACAAGACTTTTTTTCCTTCTTAAATCCATGATCCCGAGGTGTCCCTACCATCTCTGCTGGGCTGGGCCTTGGCCAGTGCCAGGTCCATCCTGGAGCTGCCTGAAATTGGCTCTGCTGGAGACAGGGGAAGCTTCTGGCAGCTGCTCACAGAATCCACCCCTGTAACCTTTGCTGCTACCAAAACCTGGCTATAGAAACCCAATACTCCCCACCCTCCCAGCCAACAATTCCTTCCCAATATCCCATCCAGCCCTGCCCTCTGGCACTGGGAGCCATTCCCTGTGTCCTGTCCCTGCAGGCCTTGTCCCCAGTCCCTCTTCAGCTCTCCTGGAGCCCCTTTAGGCCCTGCAAGGGGCTCTGAGCTCTCCCTGGAGCCTTCTCTTCTCCAGGTGAGCACCCCCAGCTCTCCCAGCCTGGCTCCAGAGCAGAGGGGCTCCAGCCCTTGGAGCAGCTCCGTGGCCTCCTCTGGACTGGCTCCAGCAGCTCTGCATCTTTCATGTGCTGAGGCCCTTCAGCCTTCTGGGCCTCTCCTTCTCCAGCCTCACAGCTGGAAGAGCAGCCCTGCCCTTCCTCAGGGAGCGTCTGGGAAGAGGAGGAGGGGAAGGAGTGCCCTGAGCCGTTCACAGAGCAGCCAACCAGGCACTTGCAGCTGCTCAGCTGTGCCCGGAGGAGTCGAGCTCTTTATCCACAGGGATCTGCAGCAGCATTTGCCACGGAGCCCAGGGCTCCAGTGGAGCACCCTCCATCCCTGCTGGCTCCCAGCTTTGTGTTGGATGGCCTGCAAAGCTCAGGGGTGGGAGGGGACAGATGGGGGTCACTCACTGCTGTGTGCCAGTGGCCAGTGAGCTCAGCTCTGGTCGCGCTGTGCCTGGTTTGTGGGGACTTCATTAAGAGTGGATGCAATTAGGGCTGGGGGGGCAGGGAGTGGGGCTGGGCTGGCAGCCACAGACTGCTCCTCAGTGGAGCAGAGCAAAGTGGTCCTGGAGGAGAGTTGGAGCCTTTTGCAGCCCCAGAGGAGAGCGGGAGCCTTTGGCTGGACGATGATGCCAGGACCTGCAGCCGGAGCCCAGCTGGGCTGTGCCCAGGGCCGCACGGTGCTGCAGCTCCATCTCACAGCCCCACAGCCAGCCATGGGCAGCTCTGCCTGCTGAATCACGTTCCTCCTGCAGGGGAAGCAGGACTTTCCAGAACAGGGAGAGCAGGAGCCCTGGGATCACCCCTGCCCCAGCCCAGGCACTGGGGAGCCCTCCCATGGGACAAGGTGGGGAGGGGGTGGCTGTGTCCCCTGCCTTGGGGAGGTCCAGCTCCCCTGTCCCTCCAGGAGTGCATCCAGGGCTGTTCCTCAGGTTCAGCTGGTGGCTCAGAGGTGTCAGTGGACCTGCAGGATCCAAACAGCTTTTCCCTTCCTTTCCATCTTGGCATCTTTTTTTCCTTGTACCTCCTTAAATTCCTCTGGAGTGAATCCAGCTTCTCACCTGCTCAGTGGCCCTGATGGTGCCCCCATGGCTGCCTGTCCCAGCCCTCTGGAGCAGGCCTGCAGGACCCATCCTGCTGATCCCCAGCCCCTGAGGGTCAGAACAGTGCCAGGAGCAAGGATAAGCCAGCACTGAGCCATGAGCCCCCATCTGCCTTGGAGGCTGGAGGGACTTCTCTGTCCCAGGCTGTCCATGCTGCAGGTGCAGGTGCAGAGGGACCCTCAGGTTCCTGCTGGTCCATCATGTTCCCGTCCTGGGTGAGCAGAGGGTCACCATGAGGCCTCGGTGGCATTGTGTCATTTTTCGCCCTTCTCCTTGCCCTGCAGGCTGCAAAATCAAAGCCCTGCGTGCCAAGACCAACACGTACATCAAGACACCGGTGAGGGGCGAGGAGCCCGTGTTCATCGTCACTGGCAGGAAGGAGGACGTGGAGATGGCCAAGCGGGAGATTCTCTCAGCCGCCGAGCACTTCTCCATGATCCGGGCCACGCGCAACAAAGTCAACGGGCTGACGGGGGCCATGCAGGGGCCCCCCAACCTGCCAGGCCAGACCACCATCCAGGTGAGGGTCCCCTACCGCGTGGTGGGGCTGGTGGTGGGACCCAAGGGAGCCACCATCAAGCGCATCCAGCAGCAGACGCACACGTACATCGTGACGCCCAGCCGCGACAAGGAGCCGGTGTTCGAGGTGACGGGCATGCCCGAGAACGTGGACCGGGCGCGGGAGGAGATCGAGGCGCACATCACCATGCGGACAGGCTCCTTCATCGACGTCAACGCCGACAAC